AATTCGGTAGGACATTTACAGAGACAACAATTTTCATTCACGAAAACAAATGAGTATTTAATTGTCTCTAAGAATCCTCAAGTCTTTACTAGTAAGCTTAAAGATAAAGTTTATGTTTTAAGCCGCCGGTTTCCTGGTGTTTGCTTTTTTCAAAGATGAACTCACGACAAGAAAATCGCTCAAAGCTTTCTTTCTACAGCCAAAACTATAACTAAATATTCTTTGGAAAGTTTTTTCTTTCTATTTACGGTGAATTAATATCGACTAAAGGCGTTTTAAAGTTCTGTAAGCTTAAGCTTATATCAAACCTCATACTAGGTCAGATGAGTGTCTCAATTAAATCTTAATACAAACGTGCATAAACTAGCTTCATAAACTGCGCCACTAGACTTCATAAAATTAGATATAAATACAATAATTACTCAGGCTTACCATACTTCGAGATGCAGCTCCTGAAAGCTATCAAGTAAGGCAAGGATCGCTTGAGCCTTTATAATTCTCGTACGCATCCAGCAAGGTGAAAAACAAAAACGATGCCATCCGAAATCGGATTATCGGCTTTTAGAAGCGACGCATTTCTCAACCAAAAACCCAATGAACAAACCAGCCATGAATAAAAGAACACTCTTGATAGCAGCTGTATTTCATTTTTTACACCCAGTGGAAAAAGACAGTTAAAAACATTGCAAGTTGACGCAAAACTCTGTAAACAAACCTTTAAGATGCTGCGTAAATTTTACGCATGAACTCACCTGTCAAATTTTAACTAATCAGAGCATACAAATTGGACGTGGAGCGTGACGAACACGTGACCATGGTTAGAAAAGGTCTTCCCCGCCTATATTTTAAAAAAAACTGGCTGAATTTTGCGTCTGAGGTCAGTTTGAAATCAAAATCGTAATAGTGCGTGGCGATACTGACATAAACTCAACATATTTGATATGAATTTTAAAAAAAGTAAACATGAGCCTGCGATCATTTGAAAACGAGTAAATTGTCAGCGGATAACTTCAAAAAAATAATCGACCTTGATGGGTCGACACCTGAGCCCGCGATACGGTCAGGTGATACTGGTCAGCGGATACCCTGTTTTGACAGCTGTCAATTGATGACAACATTGATGCGTAATCAGCTTTCTCCTGGGCTCCCAAAGTAGGTAGAAAGTGTGAGAGTAAACATTGGTATGCCTGTGGTGCGGACGGACGGGTGGTGTACGGTCACGTGATTACCAAATTTTCTGGGATGGGTAGATTTACTTATCCATGGTGCTCCGCAGGCGCGCTTCGCGTACCAGAGTTCCGCTATAAATAACAAAATCCGATAAAAACAGGCTTCATCAACCAATAACGAATCAAATAATTCATACAAAATAAATCCAGGGTATACAGCAATTTTTCGCGAGATTAAACAGGTTAAATTACTCACGTTTTCTGGAGAACGCCAACTCACTCAAAATTCAGTCGTTGACGTATGCATGACGACGGCTTGACTGGGACTGACATGCGCAATTCATTGAAAACATCACGAGTTTACTTTCGGCCGTCGTCGTCCTGTCATTCGTCGTCGATGCTTAAGCTCCCAAGTAACGGGCGTAAAAGCTGAACTTCCCCTGTCTCAGTGTGCTCTATTTTAATCCTATCATAAGGTCACGTATTGCTAAACATTTAAAAAAATTAAAATACCTTAGCACTTATTGAATGAAGCTTCGTGTGATGTGAAGAATTATGCATATCAAGGGTGAGATTGATAACAGCCTCGGACATCATACGAAAGTCGAATTCAATAAGTGTTATACTTTTCATAACATTTTTAAGTTCTCAACCAACTCAAAGACTTGGTTCTAAACTTAGAACCTATCTCCCGGCACGCTTTCAGGATGTGAACAGATGTTTTTTCTTGCAGAACTACTCAAAAACATCCATCAAGCAACATGTTTTATATGTTCTTGTATTTCTTTTTTCCTTCACAAATTTAGCTATTTCATTAAGATAGCAAGAATTTAAGTCCGCCGATTGAGAAGCATACACCACGTTCAGTCCGTGCACTAGCTGGCATGGATTCTTATCTGACTGTTGCTAAGTAGTCCCTAACGCACCTCCCCAATTCAAGATTTACATTGCTAGCTAGCTTGGCTTAACATCAGCTTATACTTCTTAGCAACTTTACTTTTTGATCCTCCAATGTCAGCTCTTGTTCTATCATTACAGGACATAATTTTTCAGATTGTTTTGTGTTCCTCCTATATAAAAAAAAAGGACAACACAATTTCTATAAAGTTATTTATTTTCTTTCGATTTCGAGAAGGTTTCCTGGTCCCCCCGCTCTCTATAGCGGTATTACCCAGATTATAGATGAAGATATAGTAATCACGTGATCACTATATCGTCACCTATGTCGGGGGTATCATTCACTCACCAAGTGAACTCATTGTTGCCAGGCAATTACTCATTCACAGGCATACATAGTTATTCTTTATTTTTCAAGAAACAACAACAACATGAACCTGATAAAAAGTTGCTCTTTTTCTTTTCTGTGGTTGGTGGGCCCGTTCTCTGCGAGAACGGGCCCACAGAGAATCCAGCTTGTCTTTGAGGGTCCACTTCAAGTACTGCTTTCTTCGGGTGATTGTCGAGTCCAAAGAATCCTTTCCAGCAGCATAGGGATGACTATCTCGAAGTATGTGGAAGGTCTTTGTATTTTGCCTCCACTAATCATAGAAGCCATGCAGTCTCGCCACTTTTATTGGACACTTTTATTGCTTCACCTGGATCGTGGTCTTTTTTCTCAATCGCTTTTTTAGGAGTTCAAAAGCTGCCTCATAATTTGCGGACGAGGATGAGGCAAATCCCACAATAACTGATCTCGCCGGTTCTAGCAGTTAGCCTCTGAGGTTCGAAGGAATCCCAGAACTCTGCCAATCTTCCAGCTTTCTACTAAACTTGCGTACCTCCACTTTTGGAAGCTTCACTCTGACGATCTTAGAGTTTCACCGAGCATGAGGTGACTCCGTTCTCACTCAAAGGACTAGGAGGAGACCAGCCGACGTTTTGACTCTCAGTCTCAATAAATCCAGACTGCATGCTCGATGCTGTTAGTTTTTCGTTAATAGCTGCAAGTCTTTGCAGTACGTCAGCCTTCAATGTTGCAGCTTTGTCTATCTCGGCCATGATGTCTTCTTGGGTACATTTTTGACTGGGTATGAGTTTGCAGGGCTCAAAGTTTATATTTGAGTTTGGGAGCACTTGTTTTACCCAATGCTAATTTTCAGGCGCACTGCGGAAAATTTAAGGAGCACAGCTTACATTGTTGGGAGCATCTACTTCAAAAGAAAAAGTAAAAAGCTTCACAGTGCCACATTTATATACTTTTATTTCAGTCTTGTGGTTGGTAAAAGACAGCCGATCTGCTACACAGTAATACTGTTGTGTTTTTACAATAAATTTCCCTTTTTGACAGTACAGTTGTGACTAAATAATACTTCCATTTTGCCTGCTAAAATGGAGAATTTGGTTTATGGCTTATTGCACAAGGAATAGTAAATTTGGAGCACGCGTTGTGTTGGTTTATGGCTTGTGGAGCAACTTATGTTACATTTCAAGCGCGCTTGTTTAACATTATGGCTTATAAAACGAGAAATATTACATTTTGAGCTCACTTGTGTTGGTTTATAGCTTATGGAACGACTAATCAAATCTTTTTAAAAAAGCCTTTTAGTTCCTGGAATTTTAGGTTTTAGGTGGTTAATTCGGATAGGTTACACTGCAGTTAGGCAAATTGAGTCAAGGAGCTGACCTATGAGCAATACATGTGATGACGACTTCTTTGCATATTTACATACTGGAACAGTTTGCCATATAGCACAGTTGCGTATCACAACTATGTGCAATGTGCATATGTAAAGTGTGGATGTGGGCCCGTTTAAGACTGAACCTGCATTGGTTAAAAGTATGTCGTTTTAATCCTATCTTATCCTACAAATTTTATTTTAAAAATCTGAGAACAATAAAACCAATGTAATCTTTACCTGATATATTCTTCTGCACTCTCATCCCCTGACAAGTGGCTTTCTTCAGAGCTTGGCTCTGTGGAGGAACAACTTGAATTTCATGGCTGCGCTCTCTCACACAGGGTATCATCTATTAACACCAAACGAGGGGTCAGCATCAAAATCCAAGTTTATTGAGTTAAGGAAAAGTAATTCAAACGCATCATAGATGTTTCAGTTGATGTGGTGACGTTTGTGATGATTGTGATGGCTCGACTAAAAGACAAAACCATACAAAAGTTTGTGAAAAACTAGCAAGCAGAAATTACTTACAAACCAAAGGAAGAAGCTAAAGCTCACAGATATTTACTCCTTTTGCAGTAGATTGATAAAGGAAGCTGAAAACACATGCCTGTTGATTTTGTTGAACTTGATATATGAAATGCCGAATTGCGAAATACAGATAGAGGGGTAAAATTATAATCTTCAAAAGTTATTTTAACTGACTAACGCATCTGCTGAAAGTGTCACGCACGTTTGAATCTAACATCATCTCAGAAGCACTCTTTTTTACTTCGATCAGTCTCATCCTTCTTGTAAGTATATTCATCGCCTTCATTAGTACCATCACTTTTAATGTCCACTGCCTTGGTTGCAACTTTTAATTGTGTGTGTTTTGGAGAAAATTGGGTTGATGATGTGAAACCATTCAGGCTCATCAATGATGGACAGGTGACAACTTTATCAGTTATGGTGTATGGTATCTTTCTGTTACAAGATTAAAATTGACATTGGAGATAAATGTTGAGTTTGTCGACAAATTTGAATTCTGGTAGGGTGAATTTTTTTGAGAATTCTTTGAGAGGTCTGGTCCTTTAACTTTGTCAAGTTCGCATGATGCTTCTTCAAATGCAATTGACACTGTTGTTCCCAACATTGTATTTCCAGAGTAGTTTTTCACACTGAGGTTCTTGATACTGTAACTCTTGGAGCTTTAGACTTGTTTTATGGTTTCATCCCAGAGGTGAATAATTGCATATCCAGTCAAGTCTTCTCGTATGCAGTCTTCCTTAACTATGCCAATTTGTCCATTTCTTTGACTGACTTCTTTAGGTGGTTTGTCACCAAGGGTAATGACTCTTCTGACATTAACCTTCTCGTTTCGTGCGAGACTCTGTATTTGGTTCAAAGATATCTCAGGGGAAGTTGGAGCAGCGGTAGTTTGTTGACCAGAATCTAAGGATCGTGATGATGACGTTATTAAAGGTGATATCACTGTAGTCGCAAATCCACAATTTATGTCATTTATTCTCAAACTCCAACAATCGAGATCAGGTCAGATCCAACCTACTCTTCTAAACCTTTGCACGATTCGCTTGTTTTTACTGCACCTTCCGCAACATCTCTTGTTATAGGAAGCCGCATCAAACTCTTTTGTGTTGATAATTCTTTTCAGAGCGCGCGGAACTTTCCTTTTGGCATCTGGCTGCACACTGACTTCCATTGCAGTAACAGTTTGAACTTCCGTGTCTTCCAACTAGAGAACTTACATTATGTAGGAGCTTTTGGAAATTCGCAGTAGAGTTAATAAAAACAACATCAAACATGGCGACTCATTCTCCTAGTGTTCGTTCTAAGACCGCTACGCCTTATGGGAGGCACAGGCTCCCCAACGCTCAAATAAGAAATTGTTCAACAAGTGACAACATTCGGTAAAAAAGGTCGCAACAATCACTATATGTCATCTGTAGTATTGGGCTGACCAAATAATGGATATTAACCAATGTTACAGGATTTCCAGTGGTTTGAAAATGGGAGAAGTCTGGAGGTTGCAATGGTAGTATTGTGTTGCTTTTATGGCTTTTCGAATAGGTGATACCCTGTGGATAAAGCCTGAGTTGAAATTAGCTTCATTTGTTAATAAAAAATTAATGCAATCAGAAAAATCTACATTGTTTGAGTTGTGTGGAAAAATCTATCCTTACTACATGAGATTTCTTTAAGAGGAAGCATGTAATCTTGGGGTGATCAATAATTATGATCTAAGGGTATCTTTAGAGCAGTTTTGAATTACAAGGGAATTGTAGCCAGAAAGTTGAGCACTTTTGATTTAGGGAAAAAAGACACTGTGATTCTGCTTGGAACTAAGAAGTAGACAATTGGAGTCGGAGGGAGAAGCAAAAAAAAAAAAGGGATCACAATGAATGAGGAAAACCGCTGAGTGCTTTGATTTCAGACTTATTGAGTACAGTACCTTTTTGTTATGAAGGGCTCGAAGACATCTTTAACGGTGTTTGGAATTTTCCTGAGACAGAAAGGTATAACATTTTGTGAATTGGAGTTCAAAAGAGTTGGTAAAATGTGTTTTCTCTACACACACAGTAGCTTTGCCATCCAAGGTAAAGTATGGTTAAAGTCCTTAAATATAATGGATTTGAAAGTACTGTGAAGGAAATTCATCAAGTCAAAAAATAATGAAATTGCTTTGTTTATTATCAAAATTGCCAAAAAAAAACAACAACAACAAACAAAAGCTCTCTGGTGTGGCCATTGATTGTAAATAACTTTTCCATGAATCCTCAGACACACTCTCTATAAAGCACTCAGCCTGCCTTGGGAGCTTGATCTTCAAGTATGTTCTTTCTTGTTGGCAGTGATAGTGACTGGAGAGCTCCATCCTAGTACGTCATAAATGCTGTTAATGACTGAGATCATTTTCCTCTTTGTTAGAGGCTTGTCCGCATTTAAGCAAGTTTTGAAGTCAATACTCATCGTGTCATGCTCCTTGTTTCCTCTGTTTCCTACCAGACTCTTGGCGTACGTCTCTTCTCCTTCTGTCACTTACTCAACTGAATTTAATAGTTCCACGTTACTGTGCCATTTGTGTAGGGCGAAACCGCCCTCTGACATTATATTGGAAGCCTCTTCTTGAAATGTAGCCGCGCCTTCTTCCACGTCGCCTTCCCCCTGAATGTCATCAACGTAGGTGTCTTCTAAAAGCGCCTACACTGTGGCCTTGAACTCTTTGTCATAACCCCTGATGTGCTTCTGCAGTCGCCACAAGGATGTACAGACTTGAGGTGGCTCCAAATATCACTCACATAAAACGGTGCTCTGCTATGTTTCTGTCTGTTAGGTTGTCGTACCACAGGACCTGCTGTTCGTCGCTGTTTTGTTTGTGTACCCGAATTTGGAGAAATGCTTTCTGAATGTCTCTGGTGACACAGTGTTTCTGCATCCGGTTCCAGAGAAGAATGTCAAATAGGAGCGGCTGTAGTGGCGGTCTTCAAACAATCATTGAGAGAGGGAGTCTGGGTGTTGGCCCTTGATGAACAATCGTAGACACTTCTCATCTTGGTCGTTTTTCCTTGCTCTCGAATGAGTGCTTGGTGGGGAATGTAGTGCACTACCTTGCCCGTTTGATGAGGGGGTACAGGTTCCATAATTCCAGCGGCCACTTGTTTCTGCATTATCTGATCATAGTCCTGCAGCTTCCCGGTTGTAACCTTGTTTCATAAGAGCCCCCTTGCGTCTTATTTAGCTGCCGTAGTATTTCCAGATTTTAAAAAGGCCTTTGATACAGTAGACTACATGATATTACTGTCTAAATTAAGTACCTACGGAATTCAAGAAAATGCTTACAATTGTTTTAAATCATACTTAGAAAACCGAACTCAAATATGTTCTGTTAGTGGTTCACTTTCCAAAACCTGCTCTCTCCAATGTGATATCCCTCGAGGGACTAAATTGGTCCTCTATTGTTTTTGCTATACATAAACGACTCACCAAGTTGCTTAACAAACTCTTATCCTAGAATGTATGCCGATGACATGCATATTACCTATGCTGATAAAGATTTGAATATCATTCAGTCCTGTTTGAATGAAGACTTGCTAAATATCAGCAAATGGCTGATCGCTAACAAACTCACTCTTAACATGACTAAGACTGAATTTATGCTAATCGGCTCGAGACAAAAGCTAAACGCCCTAACTGCCTCTCCCGTTCTGAGCGTCAATGGTGCTCCCGTAAACCAGGTATCAACGTCAAAGTCTCTAGGTGTACTCATTGATGCAAAGCTTACCTGGGGCAGTCATATCGAGAAGTTGGCTAAACAAAATTGCCTCTGGTATTGCAGCTATCAAACGGGTCAGGCAATTTGTTCCCCCAGCAACACTGCATCTTATCTACAAAGCCTTGATTTAGCCGCATTTCGACTATTGCAATGTTGTTTGGGAGAAGCTGTGGCATAAAACTAGCAGACAAACTTCAAAAACTCCAAAATCGTGCCGCGCGAGCTCTAACTTTCTTAAGCTATGAAGCAGATGCATCACAGCTGTTCCAAAATTTAAATTGGAAAAATCTTAGTACTCAGCATGATATCCAACAAGCCGTAACGGTTTTTACATTCCTATATGGCCTTGCTCCTGAGTACCTAAGCTCGAAATTTATTGCTCGATCCAAAACCACTTCATACACTTTTCGAGATTCTGTAAATAAATTAACTATTCAACAGCCACGCACTAGTTATCTCCGTGATAGTTTTCGCTACAGTGATGCTGTTCTGTAGAATAGTCCTCCTGAATCTTTAAGGCAAGCAGAATCCCTGAGTAATCTCAAGTCACTTTTGCACAGCTATTATAATATCAAGTAAGGCACGGCATTCATGGAAACAGGCTTTTTTTTTCGTATATACGTGATTGAATAATTTTAATATTCTATTTAGCAAAACCCAGTAAATGTATTTAAGGTTTTTCAAATTTTTTTATTTCGTGCCTGATGAATCTGTACGACCGTGGACTTACTTACTTGCATTTTGATGATTTGATGGAAAGAGCTCTAAAACGTATGCATATCCTTAGAGTGTGTAAAGGAAATGGTTATAGTGTATCTGATCTTGATTACATCTTTAATTGCCTCATTATGTCGCTTTTTACTTACTGTATCAGAGTTTGGGGTGTTGCTGTGTGAACCAAATACCTTAGTCAAATTGATAGGCTATTGAGAACGGCCTTTCGATTTGGGTATATTCAACATGAAACATCGATAGACCTTTTTACCGATACTGCGGCCATATTGGATAAATTCGATTTAAGGAGTATTATAGGATGCCCAGGGGGGCATGAGCATATTTCGTTTGTATTTTCGAGCGCTTTTCGGGACATTTTCTCATAAAGTTTTCTTAGAATAAGATTGTAATGGGAAAAAAAGATCCTTCTGCTGTGTTTGGATATAATAATGATCGCCTTTTTCCCGAGAAATGACCATATTTCTAATACTAAACTAGAGAAAGGCGATCATTATTACATCCAAACACGGCACAAGGATCTAACGGTACGTGCATATTTTACTTTATCTGATTGGTTTAATTGCAGTAAATCGTTGAGAATAAATGCTGCAGTTTCCATGTTAAAGTCATTGGCATTGAGGAGATCTATGAAACCTTGTGTTGTGGCAATGTTATGGCAGTTGTTGCAGGTGAGCAATGACAACTCGATCATTCTTATTTTCATATAAGAGCTTCTTCAAACTCTCCAGGAATCCCCGTTGTACACACTGACTGTTAGGAAGGGGTGGTGTGATGTTAAGCCATTTCAACTCTCGTTTTATCCCTTGTGAAATGTCTCTTAGCTTGTGGATATTTAGCAATGTATCGACTGACGATCCCGTGTAAGTACCAACAGAGCAGGTGACAGCCTTGTATTTTCCTTTTCCAAGAGACTTCAGCATATCCTCACACACGGACTGGGAAGGGATGAGTGTTACTATACTGATGTCAGTGACCTCTTTGGGGCAGTCAGGGTGAAGTGTTTGAGTCCCAGTGTAAACTATGGTCGGAAAAGTGATGTTGGCTAAATCACCTCGGTTGATTGAGTAGAATTTGTTGCCCGTAATTATGTCCTAAAATGGAGAAAAACATTATCGTTAGCACTCTCCTCAGTTCATTCAGTCCTTCCTCTACAACTGTTTTACCCTCCTATTAAAATTTTTGAGTTACTTTAAAATGGACCAGCACACATTAAATAGCTCTCTTTAGTGTGGGCGTTGGAGAAATCTCAAGGTCGGAGAGAAAATCTGCATGCGTTTGTCTGTCTGGTTATTTGTTTTCAGAACACTGTGAATGCTATTGATAAAGAAATGTCCATTTGGTCTAGTACGATCGGGACTACCGTATTTATTCGAAATGGAGTCCAACCTCGAATTAGCGCCCACCTCGAATAAGCGCCCATCCTAAAGGCAGAAAACGCCCACTCTCATGGTCCAAAAATTTAATAAGCGCCCAGGGCGTTTATTAAATAAATACGGTAGTTACACTCTTGTGCGTCACGCTCACGTGGAACAATTTTTCATAAAAACAACAACACAGACCCATCCCTGACAATGAAATTTTCTTGGGCTTCTGGTGACATTACAGACTATTTGAGACTGTTAGCTTAGCTAGCGTTGTATTTTGATTAGAACTTGGAGCGTAGTATTTAAGTAACCCCTTACTGACCCTAACTGTTTTCTTGAAAACGACCCACATAGTTAACGATAATAATTGCTTGTGTGGTAGGTGCTGTTTCACGCCTCACCATTTCTCCTCCCGCGCTTGCTCGCTTACACCCTTCGAGAGCTTCAAAAGCTATCCTTTTGGTGCTTAAATGGTTACCTTAAGGGGGGAGTTTCGTTACATTTTGAGCCAAAATTTGTCACAGATTGTAAAGCACATAAAACTCCAGCTATTTTATGTATCTTCAAAGAATTTTTTTTTATGCAAATAGACCAGCCCACAGTCTAATGTGGCATATGGTTTACATCCTATGATAAGCAAATTTATGGTTAATTATTAACCAAGTTCTTCATGGAGGCTTTTTTCCACCAATTTCATGCCCCCAAGCTTTTCTTTTCTATTTTCAAAGTAACCATGATATTTCTCACAATAACACTACACACACTCTCCTACAAATCTATTGAGCGATATCGGTTTTCAGCAAATTGTGTTGCCATAGCAATGGCATAATTTTGTAAAAAGTTCAACCTGGAATATCATCAACTGTATTCATCAAAAATAAAACGGCCTCAATAGGTTTGTAGAACAGCCTTTCATAAGTAACTGAGCCAAATTTGGTAGAAAAGGAATAAAACCAAAGAATAAAAATCTAACGGGGCATAAAAAATAATCCGCGAAAATGCCTTTTTGGGAAAAATGCAGCTTAAAATTTGGAAAGCAAAATCAGCAGTGTAACATTCACTAAAGGAAGCTACCACTAGTAAATTAGTAAAAGTAGCCTCATTGCAGCATTACCACATCATTTTCTAGATATAAATCACGATTTCTATCTCTCTTTTCTCTTTCTTGCTGGTTCTATGGCAACAGTCAGTTCATTGAAAGCACCGGCAGCGTATGTTGTGCCCTCCTTTTGTCACCATTGTTCCTCATCTCTTTGCTTTGCTTGTCTGCGAGCAACTCTGTATTTTTTACGCTGATCCTGGATCCTTTTTTCAGCCTTTTTCATTCGCCCAGAATCTCTTCTGCTTTTCTTTCTGGTGCCAGCCCCAACAACTAACCCAGCCCTTACCATCACTTCGTACTTTGCAGTTGCCCCTGCACTGAAGTGTAGAGTAGCTGATGCTGTTGCCAGCTCAATCCGTTTTCTTCCATGCCATTTGTGCTTTGGGCACCTAATCTTCACTAATGAATTCACAGACTCATTTGCATTTTGGGTAAAGCCTGGAAGACAACGTTCAAGAAGAGCAGGATCACTTAAGCCTCGCATAAATGGGTCGCAAACGGTTTTCAAACAATTCCAGTGTATCCTCTCTTGGACCATGTACCATCAAAACTGATTGGAATGTCAACCAGAGTGTCTTCATCTTCTTCACTAATCTCTTCGTCTGCCATTGCCAGCTTCCTTGCCTCTTTCCTGTTTTTCTCGAGTCCCACCTGGACAACTTCAGTATGTGCTTGAAGCAGGGCATCCTCATGACTATGCCAGGTATCTTTGCTCATGGAAAAAGGTATATTCAATATCTCACAAAATTTGGAAATATCTTCTCTGCGAATCCCCATTTCACTGGCAGCATAGACCACTCGGTGATTTACATCCTTCCCTTGCACAGTTCTGGGGTCATTGTCTAAGGAATTATGTTCACCAGTACCCAGAAATTCTGTCAGACCGCAGTCATCACAAATAGCATATATGCTACTGCTGAGCCCAAATCGGCTTGTACTTATTTCTCGAAGTTCTAGATGGCCTACAACAACAAAAATAAAGAAAATAACTAATTGATGACGACGCCGGACGAGAACAGCAACAAAAGAAGCACATTTTATAATATATACTATGAGAATTGCAAAAGTAAAAATAACTGAAAATGATGATCTCACCGGAAGCACATTGCGAATTTGAATGAATCCTTGCAAATTCTTTGAGACTATCCATGGACACAAGACGGTATCCTTCTGGTATCTCACCTTTTGGATCTATACTTTCATCGGAAGAGCTTTCTGTGTATTCAGCACCAATTTTTCTCAAAGAAGCCGAAGCAGCAGGGGGTGGAATCTGCTCACTCACAAAATCATCTTTCAGTAGCAGCCTTTCTCGCCAGTTCCATGGGCACTTTCTTTTGTTTTTGGACTCCCTTGAATTTTGATTTCTTTTTTTGACAATTCTTATTCAGTACGGACTGTTTTCGTCCGATTTTTCCCGGCAGGACGTTTCCGCGGGTGACGGGTAGCGGGTGGCGGGTGACGGGTGGCGGGTGAAAAATTGTTAGGCCGTCAAAAATAAAAAAATAAAGACAAAAAATTAAAAAACATAAAAAGTGGAAACCAAAACAAGAAAAAAGATAAACATTACAAAAAGCGATATTTTAGCAATATTCTTCTACACGATATCGCAGGAACTCAAAAAAATTAAAGTACTATTTATCCTGAGACCAGACAAGTAAGATAGCGTTCTCTTCTCGACATGTTTGTGCAATGTTTCAGATTGACAAGTGCGTTTGTTCTTTTGTTGTAAGTTGGGATAAACATTGGATTGCCCGTGGAATAAATCTTTGCCAATTTGGTTCCCGACTTGTAGTTTAAAATGAACAAAATCTCTATTTCGAGAAAGCAAGGAAATTTTCCTGAGACTAAAACAACAAAGCTGTCAATGTTAATGCGTACCAGAGAAGGAGCAACAACGTCTTTGACACAACATGGACCGTTTTCGCTGCATGTGGCGTCTCGGACGCAATTGATCTCGTTGTAGATATATACAAAAAGGATCTGCACTTTTTAAATACTACTTAAAAATACTGATTAGGAGTGCAATCATGCTGCATACTAGGGCAAAAACTAAGCAGTCTGTTATAAACACGGCTAAACAGTTGGGCAAGTGCAATCATCTTTCGTCTTGACGTGGAAGAAAAAGCAAACTAGACATTTAAACAATTAACAAAGAAACGACGCTGTACATCACGATTTTTTCAATCAGTAGTGAATTGCGTGGTTATTATTAGACATAGGTGTGCCGTGATACACAACTATGTGTGGCAAACTTGTCAACAATCATTAAAAATAATAAGCATCGAACAATCTTTTGTGCGGGGAAATTACACTTTTTCTGAATTGTGTAGTTGCAGAAAATATCCATACCCTTCTGTGTTGAACAAGCTTTCAGATATTTTACTGTTACCGGTCTTCAAAATTATTGTTATTGATTGCAGTGATCATCTTTGACCTACGGTCGGGTAAATGTTCTTTTTTTTCACGGCTTATGCGGCAGTTTTCTTTTTATCTTCCGCATAAGAATATAGTACCACAACGTTTTTTTACAGAAATATTCCTTCCAGAGGGTACCCCAAACAAGTGTAAAAATAAAGGAAATTCTAAGGGGTGTGTGTGTGTGTGTGTGTGTGTTGGGAGGGGGGGGGCGGGGGCGAGATGACAAGCACCCCCTTGATCTATAGCCCTACATGGTTGATAACTTCAATTAGAAAGACATTCCAAATTCCATTAGCCCAACAAAACGTTTTTAAAAAGCTGCAAATTGGTAGTATATAGAACCATCAGAAAAAAAAATTCCCTAATAATAGTTGATCCCAATTCGCTATGTAATTTTTGACGCTGGAGTTCAAATCCCGATTATGGGATAATATTTAATCATAACTATAACAAAATTTTTCTATTTTTCTAAGCTCTTTTCAATCAAAAACACTGAAGAATCTGAGAGTTTTTTGTAGCAATAAGTGAACTTTAAAGTGGGCGTGGGCCATGGCGCGTGCATTGTCCAATACTTCGACATGACCGAGTACTCTTCTATCAAACTATCCTATTAATGTTCAAATCAGCCAACAACAATCTTATTTGAGAATTTTGTTATAGTTATAATTAAAAGCGACAAACTTTTTAACGGTAATGTTTCAGTTATAGTGTAATTTAATTTTATTGTTTATCCATCTGCCTGACGTTTTGGATTTTGCGAGGATAACGGTCGAATCAATAAAGATGTGACGATCGGTCATTATAAAATCAGTACTGAGTAAGAACTAATTAACTGAACACTACAGTCAAAGGCTAATTCCTTTGTGACGAGAGAAAATGTAAATGCTTATGAAAGTTCCAAGTAGTCTTCGAGGATACTCAACGTAAGTTAAATTAAAACAGCTTGAATAGCCATAGCCCTTTGCTTACTCGCGAGTTTGAACCACTGTCACGTATTACAATGTTGCTACCTTCGCATCGCATGTGATAAAAAAAAAAATGGAAAACTTTGATCTCCCCTAGCGGAAAGGAAAACAAGGAGCATTTAACATAAGAAAGGTGAACAGTATATAATTAAAACCGAACTCCAAATTCGCGCCACAGCAGCCGCCTGTTTGAATTTGAGAGCTGACCAGCTACTTTATCGTCCATCTTGATGTTGGTGCCTGATGCGGATGGTGCGCAAGAGCGCATCGGATGGTAATAAACTGCCTGTAAACTCTTGCTAATCCTAATTTTGGTCTCACCGCGACGCCTGTACACATGGAACTCTAGGAATCGTGGATTGTACCAATTGATCAAGAGGTACGCGGTATGATTTTGTGTACTCTGCCAGATTTCCAAATTCTGAGGCCACAGCCTATGTGTGGGCACAGAGTCCACAATCTGTGAAACAGGGACATTCTGTACAGGTAAATTTCGTGCCTGAAATTTTAACTGTGTAGGAAATTGGTCTGCTGAGGGATATGACGATTTTCTTGCTTGTGTCATTTGGAAACGGAACAATCCCCTCTAGGTCCAAAATTTTATTGGCATTGTTCCAGGAGCCCCTAGCAAACTCTGGTAGACCAGAACACTCAAAACTGCCCATTCGTTCCGCACCAGGTTCTATTTCATTGATTTCTTCTTGCAAACATTCTTCAGATGAAGTACCCAGTTTTTGAAGATACTTTTCTCTTTCTTCACGGTCCATGCCAGTCCACTGGGCGTCTGTCACAGTTAGATGGGCCTTGGCCACGTACTACTCGCTGAATGTCTCTCCTAGTCTGCGAGACGTACTCTTTGTACAAAGTAATAGCTTCATGCCAATTGCAATTCATATGTGGGCTGTAGCCAGTTCCTTCATCCACCTTCTGTTTTTTGACTTTGTTTTTAAAAAACTGCGTTGCTGCTTTCTTGCACGTTATCGTGTGAAATATGGCTGGGCCAGGCAGGTTGGCACGCTTCCAGTGTTCCTGTTTACAACTTTGCTACTTTGGTAGGTCGTGGAAGTGAGATAGAAGTTGCTGATGTTAAACGTTGTCTATGGACAGGATGCTTGCGAGTCGGCAGAGCAACAGTCTCGCACGATGTCATCTATCTGCTCGTCAATACAAAATACCACTCTAGGAGACGGCGTCCACTGGAGATTATGCACGCTCACGTCTTCTTTTGCAAGTTCTAGTAAACTAGCAAACTCATCCTCCCGTTCTCTGCTGGTTACTCTCTGGCGCGACTTTTTTACCTGCTTGCCGTCTCTTGGGAATTCTGTGGCGAGTTCGCAGTCAAGCACTCCACCTACTTTCATGGAAGCCTCATCAAAGATTCTGGAGGGGCCCTTACGTCCAGCAGCTTCTTCAACTAGCGTAGCTTTTGTTGACGGGGCTGTTGGTACGAGCTTTTTCCCTGACCGAGGGTGCTTATGAGAGCTAACGTGGTGTTCTTTGCCAGTAAAGGTGTACTGAATCATGCCAAGTGAAAGGACATGACCACTGCAAGTATAGATCAAAGTTGAAGTTCGCTGGATTTCGGTGTATTTCTTATGTCGTTCAAACACATTACGGTCAGGAAATTCGCCCTTTTCTAGTTTTTGGCGTCCAGCCAAGGTTCCTTTGCAGGCGTACGCGTCAACCATCTTGTCATGCTTGAGAACAAAGATGTGAGCGCTTGAACTGCGGTTTTCAAAGGAGCCGAGGTCTGTGACGAGCCAGTCGTCGCTGTTTTTTAGTACTGTTCTGTCGATGACAAAACAGCAGTTTTCCATAACGTTTGTTGGCCGTTTTACACGAACCTTCGCCTAGTCTACGACAAGCAACAGAATGTTGAACCTTGTTTTAAAATCCAGGTCGCATATACCAGTGAACAGGTAAGGGGTGGCTGTTTCTCCTTTGTAAAAGGTGGTTTTTTCCCAGTAACGCAAACATTAATTATCATTTAAGGCATGACTAAAACGAAGCATGAAAAAGGACGTAAAGTTGCGGTCCTGTTCAGAAACAAGGGACCTTAAGCACCAGAACGGGAGAGGAGGACGGCGATGTCTGGCGGATGGGGAAGACTGGGTCTACGTCGCCGTCATCAGCACGAGTTGTTTGTTGTTAAGCAACTGGACCCTAGGACGGGAAACACGCGGGAAGCTAAAAAAAACATGGCTTCTTTTCGCGAAGCACGAATTGCCATTTTGGACGCCTACATGGACGGTCTATTAGATGACGACGAATTTCTAGTACTTTGACAAGCACACAAGTCACGACGAATTTCTAGTACTTTGACAAGCACACAAGTCAAAGAACCCCGAGTTCCCTTATGAAGAACATGGCCGATTTTCCTTCGACGAACTTGACGAAGCAGAATGCAAAGGCGAATTTCGATTCGAGAAGAGAGACCTACCAGTCCTTGTAAACGTTTTGGGTATCTCCAACCAGTTTACTTGTTCGCAGCGTACTGTTAGTGATGGAATGGAAGGATTGTGCATGGTGTTGCGAAGAATGGCGTACCCTTGCCGCTACAGAGACCTTATTCCCCGGTTTGGTAGGCCAGTTCCCGTCTTAAGCATGATCTGTAACCGCGTAATTGATTATATTTACGATTCGCACGTACATCGCCTCACTTCATGGAATCCCCAGCTGTTGGACCCTGCCTCTCTTCAGATGTATTGTGATGCAATTTCTAGGAATGGTTCTCCTCTCGACAACTGCTTCGGGTTCATAGACGGCACGGTCAGACCAGTATGCCGCCCTGGTGAGCAGCAGAGAGTGCTCTTCAATGGCCACAAGAGGGTGCACGCCCTAAAATTTCAATCGGTTGTCTTACCATCGGGAATTATAGCCCATATGTATGGCCCAGTAGGTAAGTTAAATGATAAATTACAAACAGTTAATAAACAACAAAATAGTGCATAGGTTCAGATGTAGGGTGTTACGAGGAGGGCAATTCTTAAGGCTGGAGATCAGAGAAAGTCAAGTTTCAAATTGATTCAGTACTTGCACTACAATATGATTCACTAATTTGAAAAAAAAGCACCCATCTCTTTACTTTGTTCCTTTCTGTTGTTTCTACTGCAGAAGGCAGAAAGCATAACGCGGGGATGTTAGCAGACTCTGGTATACTTGAAGACCTACAAAGGAATGCATTTCCTTAACTGGCCAGCCTCTTTGTCTGTATGGTGACCCGGCTTACCCATTAAGGGTTCATCTGCAGTGCCCTTTTAGAAATGCAGTACTAACACCTCAAATGCAGGAGTTTAATGCCGCCATGAGCGCTCTACGTATAACTGTTGAATGGCTCTTTGGAGATATTATTAATTATTTTAAGTTTCTTGATTTCAAAAATGATTTAAAAGTTGGCCTATCCTCAGTAGGAAAAATGTACCTTGTTGGTGCTATCATAAGAAATGCTCACACCTGCCTTCATCACAATCAGACTTCTGATTTCTTTTCTGTGGATCCACCAACACTTCAGGACTATTTTGTGTAGCTTGCATTATATTAACATCAGTAATGCACAAGTGTTAATATTTCCAAGAAATTTTCAGTGACTGGATTGTGTAGAAAATAAATATGAAGAAGACCTTTGAAATGTCTGATAATTATCATGTAACATGCATTGTTTGTATTACATTTCTATCTTAAATAAACCTTGACCATATCCAGGTTTTTACTATGTTTACTTGGGTATTACCTTGGCCATTGGGAAAAAAGCCTCTGAAAACCACTGCTAACATCGTTGCCTTACATGTAGCTTTCACAGTTGCCACACCCCTCCCCTCAAAGCTTTAAGCCTAGTGACATGGTTTCATCACTCTTTTGTTATGGTACTAATGATGAGAATTTCATTGACTATATGATATCTTTCTTGATTGGCTCTATTATTCCCATGGCCTATACTTTTATTACACAGTGATGTTATGAGATTCTCGTAACATCACTGTTTAATAAAAAATAGGCCATGAGAATAATAGAGCCAGTCAAGAAAGATATCAAATAGTCAATCAAATTCTCATCATTAGTACCATAACAAAAAGTCAAACATCTGTCAATTTACACCTTCCTTAAGGGGACACTTACCCTTTGTGCAAGCCATGAAAGGGGTGCATTTTTAGCCTCCCTTACATGGACACCTCTAGTAAGTGGACCCTTTCTACAGGTCCCAAGGGTTTCCGCTCGTATTAGGGCACATGCAATCAAAAATGGATTATAAAGTTGGCTTTTATTTTTCATCAATACAACAAACTAATATTGTCAACTGTAAAATTACCTTAGCAAATGGTCTGGCATGTACATATTTAATGTTAAATTAGTTCAAGCTCCAAATTGCACCCAGTGCCCAACTATAAGGTCAGGACACACTAGGCAACAAGTCATATGAAGCAAAATGTTGTTGTGTCCTTTCCCCCTATCGTATCACAGAGCCGTTTGCTCTAGACTCGATACTTCAACTGTGAATTACTCAAACTTGATTTCAAGAGACAACTGGACTTTTCATTATCAGAAAACATTATGTGTGATCTACATATACACCACTTCCATAAAAGTAACAATACGAATGAATTTAAACTGATGACAAATGATACATAACTGATTATAGATCACTATTCTTGATATAAAAAGTGTCCCAGACTTAATAGGAACCTCACAAATTTAACCTACGTCCTTTTTTAGACGTGACGCAGGATCTACATCACGCCAAAAAAGTAGTAAAGAAAACGAATTTAATGTCTCTGTTGTGAAGAAATCTAACTCGGCCAAAGCTGTTCTGATTGTAGTATTTAGACAGACAAGTTACTCCCAGGATTCAACACAGCCTGAACATTGCCAGTGTTGTAAACTTGGTCACCACTTAACCCTACGCAAATCATGTGGTCCCAACTGGCACAACTGTCACAACAAATCCAGTTGACTGAGTCATCTACAAAACCAGTGGGTTCTTCTTTTTGGCAAGTAGCACAACATTCTGATTCTGTGGCCCCTGTCTGTTTTGCTTACTGCTTCTCACCTTGTGCCTTTGACTTCTTTGATTTAAACTGTGTAGTTTTACCTTTTCTTGAAGCCTGCAAAACAGGTGTCGAAATGAAAGTGGGAGGGCAAGGAAAAGGAAGAGCAGATAGGGAGAGGAAAGGTACACCTGCCATAAGAACTACCTCCTGTTCATTTCCGCAGTCGAAAAATTCTGATTTGCTGAGACCCATAATTAACATTTTCACACCAAGTCATAATTATTCCGAGGTCAGATTTCCAACACCCCCACCCGGCCCTGTTT